ACTTTGCTCCCTTTGAATCTCTGACTGGTTTGTTCTCCATGTCAAAAGGGTTTAAGGTCAAGGAGTGATTGAAGGCCAACTGCCACATCAAACTGCTAGAGAGAAAAAAAAGTGATTTATCTGAAGCAAACCTTCAAAAATGATTGCAACAAGATGAACCTTCAGTTATGATAAATGATTGAAGAGATTCATGTGTTTTTCTGTTTGACAACACTGACTTAAGAGCAGGGTAAAAATCTTACTGTGGTTGCTGTAAACATCTCAACAGAATCTTTTAATTTGCAGCCGGAAAACATATTTTCTCATTATGTGTAATATGTGTCATTATGTTGTGGTGAGCCCCTGACTTTTCCATTAGCCCGGCCATCAAGCCAAACTTTTTCCATCCACACTGTATTGCAATTCTGTCATTTACTCAGTTCCATACTGTCAGTCAAAGTAATGCCTCTTGGCTACTCTTGTTTAGTGTTGTGACAATGATGGTGGAGGTCTGACCTTTTGTTATTCACAGGCATCCAAGCAGGCAAAACTATAAACGTAAAAAGCAGTTTACAGAGAATTGGCCAAGAATGAATGCATAAATAATCATTTTATTTAACCTGGCCAGACTGCTATCTTTATTTGTTATGTTTTTAAGAAATACAGCAATTACAGTGTTGTGCAACGGTTTTGACTGGAATTCCAATATCAGGGAGGCTATATCATAGTACTGTATGACATAAGTCCTGTAACAATCATTGTTTTCAAAGGAAAACACAGACGTTAAGTCTCAAGTGATGTCACACCTCCCTCAGAGACAATCCTTCCACACCCTTGGCAATGCCAAATTCGACAAGAAACAGAAGCAGGTTTATGTGCCCGCTAGAATTATCTCTGTGCTATAAGATTTAAGTCTGGAGTCAGTGTGTGCACACACTCCTAAAAGTCACACACAAATGCTTGTGATGGACGCAGTAGGCACATAGGGCTAAGCTTGGAGATGACTACCTCATGCTGTTTCACATTTCCTGACCTATCCTCAAAGACTCTCTCAATATACTATCGTCCTCTGGCACCAGAGCTTGTCTTTGCTTCAACTCAAAACCCCCCACGGTTTGCTGTATCTCGCCTAGCTTTTCTTTCACCACCCCCCTTTTCTTGCATATTTCCATCGGTATTCACAGTATTCACATTTTTTTTATTGTGGGGTAAAAAAAAAAGATCTCTCTTTCATCTTACTTGCTGGACTTGTTGTATTCCCCTTCATCTGACTTTCAGTGATTAGTTAGTAATTAAAATGCTCACAGTAAAATTGGCAAATTATTGCCCAGTTTGACACTCCTGAAAGGGGGGGGGGACCTAGATTGTGTACACACAGCCTATTGGTTTCAATCAGAGTGCAGACCCTCATTATGAATCATTTATGGCCTTTCGCTGCAGCAAGAGAACAATCCAAGGCATTTACAAGCAACCACAAATCTACACGGCTCCTCGCACACATAAACATGCAAGCAGACTTTTTTATTGCTGTCATGCTGCCTAGAGCACCGCAGTGTCCAGGTGTTTCCAGGCCCCTGCAGCTGTTGACAGGAAAGGGATCTGTCCATCAGCGGGCGGTGGCATCCAAAGCAGGCGGCGGCAGCCAGCCTCGGGATCAAAGGTTACATGTTTGATGTCACCTCCAGAGTAGAGGTCAAAACTCTGCTGAGGACTAACACTGTCAGGGTCCTCATATCCACATGCATGAGCCATTACTAATTTTTTTTTTTTTTTAATTTTGAGAGCTGGAAGGTTTCAGTTGCTACTGTACTGCAACTTGTAAAGAAAGTACAATGCGCTTTGATTTGCTATATCGGGTATAATCTTGAATACACAACACTCTCTTCTTTATCTCTCTCAAACAGTCAGGCTCACACACAAAGTAAACCTGAGCACGTGTGTATAAAGTACAGTCGGAGACATTCCAGCCTTGACTGGTGAGCCAGACACCCTGAAGGAATGAGCACAACGCTGATGGTTGGTGGGGATTTAAGCTGTTGAGTGATTAAGACCGCTTTTTCTCTGCTTCATTGCTTTCTGTTATGAAAGGCGCATTTACAGCACAAAAAGTAAATGATTCTGAAACATCAGCCATTGTACTTTGCAAAACATTTCATCATTAGTCTGGGATTATTGTTTTTTCTCGCTCACTGTTTGCAGACAGGCTGCAAATAGCAATGCAAAAACCTCTGACGAATTTTCCCTGTCACAGTAAAAATACAACAAGGTGTGAAATGACGCCACACGCTCACACTGGGACGTGCTATGTACGTAAATACACATACAGTTAGAAAATGCCTTAAATGTGCCCTAGTTGAGCAATGTTTATTTTCCTTTTTTCTCCCCTGTGTGTGATTTTTATGGGTTTTAAGACCGCCGTGGAGAGGAGAGCAGAACAGATGGGCCATAAATTACAATACCATGAAAGATTAAGTTAAAATGCATAAATTTCTATCCATTCCTTTAGTTACCTAAGTATACAATTTCAGCAATCAGCAATCAGCAATCTCGAAGTACGCTTGAATCCAAAACATCCTTAAAACCCTAACAGCATAATAGACAAATAATGTCTCCGTTTAAGAGTGGCAGTGACAGACAAAGTTGTCACAGGAGCATGTAGTTAAAGTTGTGAATTGGCAGAAATTTGGTTTAGTTTTTCTTTTTTACCTTTTGAGGAAAAGTCTTATGTTTCACCCATCCAGCCACTCTGACCTCCATCTGATTTTTTTTAGTCTTAATACCACTTGACCTAATTTCCTCCTTTGATCGTTACATAATTACTGTGAAATGGCTGAAACGACTTACATTAAGAAAATACAAATTCAGAAATGATGAAAATTCAAAAAAGTCCAAAGGTTCAATACAGAGGCCTAAAACATATGCAACGATTGAAATTCGCTGCATATGAAACGTGCTGCATTACCATCAAAAGCACTGCAAATACTAATGCTAGAGTTATATACATTTGCATATTAGGGGTAGGGCTGAGCTGACTGACAAGTTGTAGCTGTTTGCTGGGAAGCCTAAGGCCTCAGCGTCACCTTCTTGGCTATTTCTAGAATGACTGAAAGTTTGGTGTGGATAAGCCTCTTCAGAAACCAATAGGTGATGTCACTTAGGCTACGTCCATGCTTTACATGGATGGAAATGGATGAGAAACAATCATTCTTCTTAGGTTTTTCTACCTCAGTAAGCATTTTTTTTAAATTAGTTTAAAGTGTCATTCACTGCTTCAGATCATTTTCAATGTATGGTATGTCAGTGTTTTTTTCAGGGTATGGCTATATACCTGTGATTGTCAAACCTGTACAAATGCACCCAGTCAATCATGATATAACCATAGCAATGTAAATCCACTCAGTGGCCCATTTATGGATAATTTCTGGATCCAACAAAAAAAGATGGAAACAGCAAAAACGCTGAGCTCAAAGCCTCAAAACAGTAGTTTCAAAACCAATGGGTGACACTGTGGTGGTTGCACCCACTTTTATACACGGCATATGGTTTTTATAAAAGGCTTTATTCAAGATCAGCTGGAAGGCAGTATTTTTTTCAGAACGTTTGAATCATAAAGAATCTCATTTTCCAACAAATCGTGGTGAAAGAAAATCAGAATTCCAATAACACACTTGTAATTACATTCTAAAGTGGATTTAGATTAACTTTTTACCCACTTGGAAAAATCTTAAAAGAAAGTTGTACAGAAATGAAGGATGATTATAAGCCATCTCTAAACATTAATGAGTGTTACATTGATCTGCAGAAAAGTATTTATGTAGAAGTAAAATGAAACTAATGGCAGTGAGCCTTCTCAAAGAATGAAGACATCTGTTTTTAGACCACACAAAATGAAACAAGGTCAAAGGTTAGAGATAAAAGTTGTTTTTGGCTAAAGGCTTCTTAAAGGTCTGATTTCCCTTCAAACATTAACCTGTTCAGGGCAACTACTGGGGACTATACTAGATATTATGCACATCTAGGTTTGTTTATTAAATGAATACAGTAATGTGTAACCAACCAAGTTCAAGTTTGTCCTTCAAAGAAAATAATCTGCATGTCATCAATGGACAAGTCAAGGGCAGGTTGCATAAGTAAAATAGGTGGAAACAACTCGAAGACACCAGACTGCATGTTTTTCCATCAAGATTGGACAGATAAAGTGCTGGAGGCTGGTGCAAATTATCAAGACCGGCTGCACTTTAAACCCTGGCTTTACTTTTCCACTGACAATCAATTTTTCTCAACCCCCTGAATCACTTGAATCACTCTGTTTTTTCCGGCAGCCAATCTGAAAAGACCTTATTGTGGTGAAAAGGACGGACATATAAATTGTAAATTTATGGTAGATGAAGAGTGTTGCTTGTCCATAGAAAGTTTGTGCCTGTTGAAGATTTAGCACCCACTGCTCAGACCCAGACTGGCCTTCTCACAGACTACATGAGGTGAAGTAAGGACCCTAACACACAAATCTACGAGCGCTCACTGCGACTTGACCCTCTCTGAACCACTCCACAAGGACAGTAACAAGACTCTAACGCTTGCTTGCAAAACACCCGAGACTCACAATCAAACTAGCCTTTAGGATTTTCTCACCATTGCGTTACACCCTGATAACCATGTCCACACACATATGTAAACACATGCATGCTCTCATAATGCAACCTCTGTTGACACATTCTCAGCTCACATGTTGGTAAAACTCCCATGGAGTCTATGATATCTATAGAGCTGCATCCCCTGAAGACCAGCTTTCTTTATCTCATATTTCAAAAGCCTTCTGTCAGTACTGAGACTGTGTTTTAAGTTGCTTTACAACTGGCCATTATGGACAAAACACAGTATCATTACTCTTAGAAACAGGCAACCCAAGTCTCCACATCGTCCATGTTTCATATATTACAACCATGCCTCTCCCTGTGGTGGTCTTTGTGTATTTGCATCGTTAGTTTGCCCATGTGGGTGTGCGTGCGTAGGTGTCTGACCTTTGAGGATGACCTCCAGTTCGTCTCGTAAGATGTCAAAGGTGCTGTATCTGGAGCTGGTCTCAGGGATGATGTTCTTTTTCAGCCAGCCTCCACAAGCATACTGGTAAAAGTTGTCACAAGGGTCCACACTAGCATCCATGTTTTCAATGAGACGAGATGCTGCATGGACACAAAGAAAAACAAGCTGTGAAGACTGGAGACAAACACTGAGCATGTCAGGTTATGTCCAGCTAACAGCTAACAGCCTGTCTAACAAATGTGGGATTAATATCGGTGATTGTCATTTCAAATAGTAAAAGTAAGATGTTTTGGGAAACATGTTATCACTATAAAGCTACAGAAAGCCCACCTGTTAGCCTTTAGCTTAGCTTAAGCACCAAAATGGAGGGGAACAGTCCTATCTAAAGGTCACAAATTCCACTTAACAGCAACCCTTAACCTTAAATGGCTCCAATAAATATTATTACTCCTTACATAAAGTGAAAGTGTTACTCTAACAGGAGGTTGGGATTCTTTTTTAGCCAGAAGCTTAAATAAGAACCTGTCCTCTCTTGTTTTGCCAGTATATCACTCTCCCTATAGCTTTGAAATTGGCCTGTTTCTCCTACAAAACCGCAATAGTGTCTATTGGACACTACATTTTTCAAGACATTCCAAAAACTAGATATGAGGTGTTGCATTAGTAAGCTTTGGAGCTGTGGATTCTGTGACCTTCAGTAAGATCCTTCCATAATTGTCTCAGATCGTGATGCTGAGCCAGCTCCCACTGGTTAAAATGTTATGCTCAGACTTGGAAAATAAACTTGAAAAGTTCAAGGAAGAGATGGCAGTAATTGTGTACAATTTTACACAAATACTGGAAAAGGGTTAAGATTTCTTTTTTTGGAGCTGCATTTTTATTACTTTAAACAGCTGAGAGACCTCTAGTACATGGCGGTCTGAAAACTGATAGATTTTGAGATATTGGGTCCCCAAGTGTTTCAGATATAAATTGGCATCTACCGCTGCAAAGTATCTGATGGAATTATAATTGCTTCACCAAAGGCCGGGAGATGGTGGCAGTCTATTTGCATCAAATGTTGATTAAAGTAAGGTGACTGGTTTTTGTCTTATTCATGTCTAGCACCTAATGCATATTTTGTGACTAATCAACAAAGACTCCTTAACTAAATAAAAGCAGAACTTAAAACAAGCTAAGCTAATGGTAGCCTGAGCTTGGCTGGCAGCCCCAGGGTGCTGTGCCTTCCTAATGATCCTGGACCTCCTGCAGGATGATCTGTGTCTCGGGGAGCTGGTCTTTTTAAATCGTTTTTATGTGAAGGTGTTGCAGGAAAATGCTTCAGGTTGTAAATATTTTTGAATAATTACTTTTCTTCTCTGTGACTCAGGACATGTTAATCTGTGTCTGTAATTGCTCTGGGTTTTATGTCTGACTAACTTGTTTATTGTGCTGCTGCCCCTCTTGGCCAGAACACTCTGATTCTTAATCACAATGAGGTTCTCCTGGTTAAATCAATTCAAAATAAAGAAAATGTAGCTGTATTAAGTGTAGCTCTAACTTACGTAACATCTTCCACTAGCATGTCAGTGTTTATGTGGGGCTTTGTAACTCAAATTATTACCTCAAATCAGATCGATACCAAACCCTGCATTTCAGGCTAAATCTGACGTATTACAGACTCTGGTGTTGGTATTGGAACAACTCAGTATCTGATTAGGATGCATTCTGGGTGTTCCCTTTTCAAAGTTTTCCAGACATGTTCAACTTTTAGGTGACCGCAGGGTCGACCCGGAACTCACTCGAGAGAGAGATTGTATCTCATTTGGCATGCAAAGGCCTCAAGATCCCCCTGGAGGAGCTAGAAAACATTGCAGAGGAGATGAACGCTAACAATAACACACCTAACACCTGATAAGTGAAAGATGGGTAGCTGGCTGTGTGGTATGAAAATGTCTCCACTCATAACTGCAATTAACAAACTCTGACAGTCAAGTTATATACGTTTAACAAGTTGGATATGTTGAAACACTTCAGCTTTGGATGTGCATATCCGGATCCTAATCCTGTTGACACAATGCTCATACCCATTTCCGGTGTCTAACCTTCTCTTGTGGTTGTTCAGAGGTGATCCGAGAAGAGCACGCTTTTGCACCATGTGTCTGCTGATCATGATTGTTTGTTCGATCACTACTATGAGTTAGTGGCAACATACTCGCAGTTGAAGAGGCCATTTTCTCTAAGTATGTCTGTATTCCCTCAGTTTCTGCTGCAGTCTCGATTTTCCCATTCTGTTCTCCTCTGAGAAAAATCAAAGCCTTCAAAATGAGACAATAAAGACAAGGCACAGAGAAACAAACAAACAGTGCTTACCTGACTGCGTGCAGTCAGCTGTGGTGCAGATTTCATCTACAGGAAAAATGCAAAACAAATCATCACTCACAGGGATTTTTACAGTCATCAGTCAATATGTCAAATACTCATTCTCTCCTTTCCCCTTTTCCTTGATTTATTTCGCTATCTCATCCTTCATGCACACAGCTCTAAACTACTTAGAAGTGTTCCTTTCAACCTGTCAGGCATAATGTAGGTACTAAACTCTTAATCAAACACAGTCCGACACATACAGACTTGAACACACACACAATCAATTAAAAGTCATATGACCTTAAATACACAGGTTATGATGTGAAAATAGGTAAGTGTGCACACAAAAGCAAACTCTGAACAAGTCGTTAAACATCTTCCTGACACCGCATTTAATAAAACACAAGCCAGAAAAAGATAATAATTACGCAACACACAAACAACTAGTCAGCACAGAAACAGATTGATTAAGTTGGATTTTTTAAAATGAAGTATCTGCATTCTTGATCTGCTGAACTGGTGAAGTTGTTTGTTATCTACAATATGTTGATGTCATACTAATAGATAACTTCTTGAGAGGCACCTCCCAGTTATCCATCGTCCTTGGACTTAATAAAAATCTTCATCATGTTGCGTAACTAAGACTTTGAGTCAACTCTGATTACAAGTTTAATCACTTTGATGTCTGGGAAATAAAAGGAACAGTGAGGACATTAATGATTGGAAACCCTGTGTGATTCTCATACTGTGCATTGATCTGAAGCAGATTTGATCAGTTCCCCACAGCGAGGAAAGGCAGGGAAATTATCGACTTCTTATTATGTGACATTTACAGCAAGATATAAGATGCTTCACATTTTGACCAGAAGCCTGAAACGTGAAATAGCACAATTTTTTTAGTTACATGTTATTGCCTGGAAGGACAGAGGAGAACCTTTGCACACTGTTTTCTTCGCTCTGGCTCAGTGGTTGTACTTTAGCACTTTGCTTTGAAAGCACACAGCTCCAGTGTCTCTTCTTCACCTTAAAACACTATGCTGTACTACCATTAACCATGAACTCAAGCTGTAAGAGACAGTCAAGTTATGGACATGGTGGAAAAAGGCAAACTTTAAAACTTCTGACACTTTTGAAAGGCTGACTTTTTGAAGCAGGAAAAAGCAAAGATTGACTTTTTGACAAGTGGCTCCCCAAAAATAGTTTTTTTTAATCACGAGACACTGTTTCGGATCACTCTGTGTTGTTGTTTTTTTGTAAGAGTCTTATGAAGATTACTTTTCTGAAGACGGATCCACTGGGGTTTTCAGTTATTCTCCACTGTCCTTTCTTTAACACTCACCGGTTTTCTGTGTGGCGAAGAGGATGATGAGGGCGACAATGGCGATGAAGAGCAAGGACACGATTGTAATTAGGCCGATCTCCAGAGAGGTCCAGCGGGGCTTTTTAGCCGACTTGGGGGGGTTAGTCTCTGTCATTCTCAGGTCTCCTCCTTCAGCTGCCGACTGTATCAACTCACCTGAGGGGAGAGAGGAGCGAGGGAGAAGCACAGAAGATTGGATTCACTCGAAAATTAAGGAGTAGATTAGTTGGTAATGAAAGTAATCCTACATTTCAGCCCTAAATAGAAGGAAGAATAGGACTTATATGGCATTATATTTGAAGTGTAAATCATATCTGGACCGAAACTGAACCAAAGAATCTGTAGCATCTAAAGAATTTGTGCATTTGACCTTTGTCCACAAATTTGACCGTGTCAGGACCATTTAAAAACCCAATTCTGATAAGCCATTAATCTTTGAAGTCAATATGTCAAACACACGCTGGTTGTAGCTTCTTAAAGTGAAGCATCACATCAGTTAGAGCTGAGATTTATTAATTTTGACATTAAAAAACAAACATTCTGTCAAGTCTCTGGATTTTTCTCAGGGCATCAGCCGAAGACGGAAAATACAAAGAGAAAAGGAGATAAAAGACACATGATTGTGATAAGACAACCCATGTGGAAAAAGACTCAGTAGTTTACAGAACCAGTCTCAGAGCAAAAGGTGAGAACAATGGAAGTTCTTAGCCTCTGGTGGCAGTACACTCCAGACAACAAAAAAAAAAAGAAACATGCACTTTCTGAGGAAACAAAGACAGAATTTCCCTCCGCTCCTCACGCTACACGGTTGTTTTCCTCTCTGGGGCCAAGAGAGAACTTTACAAAGTTCATGTAACAAGCAGTTAAATACTATCTCTGAAGGCAATTAATCCTTAATCCATTACCGACTCTGCACATACACACACACACACACACAGAGTCATGCTCTCACATATTTTTACAAGCTGGTGTCATGAGGTGCTTGTGCAGATGGGAGGGTTTCCCATCATTCTGGCTGGGATGAGAGTACAAAGTCTCCTGGCTTCCTTTGAACGGGTATAGGCACATACACACAACATCACCTGTACACATACAAGCACACACACACACACACACACACACACCCAAATGCATCACTCTCACACATAAACACAACTCTCCTGAATGTCAAATCCCCAATGATTCCACTTCAGGACTAAACAATAGCTTAATGTAAACTCCCTCAGGTTAACAGTCACTATCCAGCATGGTAATTGGCTATTACTGTATACGCCAACCACAATACGCTGCACACCTTACTCCACAGCAGCATTACGGCATGCATGACTTCACTACAGGTTGTTAAAACCACTACAAGAGAGTGTTGGCCTCAGTGTGTGTAGTAGACACCTTTCTCTCTGCAGTGTTTGTCTTTGAATGATGTGTTTCTGCAGCAGACATTGAGTCAACTAAAAATATGGTAGGAGAATGTTGAATGACGGCATACAATGAGGAACTAATTAGACAGTAGGAGGACATGAGTTCATTATGTTAATCACAGCTTCCTGACAACCTTTCTCCAGCTGAAGGAAAAGGAAAAAACTTCAACTTTTTTTTTTCTATCCTGAGAGCAAACACATCACCGTGACAGCCGTCCCACAGCTCCAATAAAACCATGTGTGCATGTCAGCATTGTAGAGGCTGCACACTATACTTCCTCGTTGTAATACTGTCACGTTGCATTCGTAAAAAAAAAAAAAACTATGAAATTCCTTCGAAATTTATTTAAAAAGGAAAAGGGACGTAAAGATGGAGTCGAGGAATGTGAAAAAAGAGTATACTCCCCCCCAAAGAGTTTGGGGGGGGAGTAAGTTGTAAAAACAGAGAGAGACACTGAGAGGTCTTTAAATTATGTTAGTGAGTCCCTCTCTGTAGTCTGAGGTATTTTGGGTGTAAATCTTGTGAAACGATTAATGTATGCCCTTTAAATGCACTATCACTCATAATGAAAACTTCTGTGTGGCTGTGAAGGACTTTTTAGGAATTGCACCTTTTTAAAGTCAGATGAGGCTTATTTACTTATCAACGTTGTGTTATTACCTGCATGATATGCTTTTTAAGGATATTTGCTCTGTGAAGGAACGGCTAAATACATGTTTGAAGTAAGTGTATTGCAAGCTTTTATTTCTCACTGTTGTCACTGTTATTGTTGCAGGGTATGTTCCCGGTTTTAACTTTTAAAAAGGTGGCTTGTGATGTTCCTTCCTGAGTGTACTCTGGAAGTTGTTCTGCCCTACCTGCATGTTAAAGGAAGGACAACCAGAAGTCAGAAACCTCTCTTTCCAGTTGCCTCCTCTCTCTGTCTGCCCGTCATGATATATCTAAAACATAAACATGTCCCCATGTCTTGTGAGACCTCACAAATGCCTTCAAAATTAAACCCATCATTCACTATGACACCTGAAAACACACGTTGGCATGCACACACACATACACTCAACAGGAGACTGCTTGCACAGTTTTTTTTTTACAACCTACATCCATGTGAGCCATGAACATGACATGTACCTAATTGAGTTTGAATAAGTGCAGGAATGTGGCCTACTTTTACTCAAAATAACACCTTCTCTGGGACATCTCTGGGACAACACAGGGCCTATAGCTGCACTGTGAAGACTAAAATCACTTTAAGATCATTTTTGTGTGGAGTCTGGATGCTCAAAGGTGCTGTAATCTGGCAGCGGTGAAGTCTACCTCTTAGATTGCTTTCCAAATGCTTTATTGGATAGCAGCATGATTGAAAAAAAAAAAAAAACTTTTTTATTTTTTTTTATAACTCTAAACATCCCAGTGCCCATATACAAGTGGAGAACCAACACCATGAGCTTGGAACACCCAGCTGCAATCATAAGACTGCAAATAAAAGAGTTCTGATGGGACTAAATGCAAAGAGGTGTTAAAAGTGATACGCCGCTGCAGCCCCACACGCGGTCATGTGCAACTGAGCAAGACGCTGCTTAGTCCATGCCAGCACCTCATCTCCTGTTGCACTTCGGGGATTCCAGGGGGGGGTCATGGCATGATCAACTAGTGCACGCTGCCCCGGCCCGTGTCGCCAAGCCGGCACGCGCATACGCCAAAAAATAGTGCACTAGCGCGCGCGCAGACACACACACACACACACACACACACACACACACACACACACACACACACTCAGAGGAAAAAAACGCGCACAGATGGCACAGCGTAAAAAGAAGCGCTCGGGGTGCATGAACGACTTACCAGATGTGTCGGGAAATTTTCGGTCGATGATATATATGGGCATCCCATCCACTGATCAAACATCCATCTATTCCACAAAGGGAGAGCGAAGTGCTGATCGATCTGTTCCAGACTATCTATCTGCTTCACCCTGGATTTCAACAAGGCACACACCGATCCCGCCTCTCTTCTTCTTCTTCTTCTTCTTTTTCTTCTCCTTCTTCTTTTTCCTTTGGATTTCTATTTTAGGAGTGCACATTCACACGAGCACACTCACATGCGCACAGACCTTTCACTAAAACTACCTTATGTAGGCTACAGTACCTCATCTACACACAGAGAGGATCGCTGAATTCAAAAGAGCCATCAGACTCTTACGCGGCGCAAATGGTCAAGTGCGTGCTCCACAGGGGGGGTGGGGGGGTATCCCATATTTATAGAGCCTATGACATGTAGTGAGGCAGTGAAGCAACCGTCTGAAGTTCCCCGTCCACCGAACCTCCTCCGTCAGGGCGGCGTTAAGAAGTGACCCTGTCAGCGGCACTTGCAGTCAGCGGAATAAGCTCCAGAGCGCAGGTTCAGGTGAACGGTGAGGAGCTGACGTAGTGTATTTATACTTACTTTTAAAGCTGTCAGAAGTGCATACAGCAAGATCACGATAATCATATTAATAAAAAAATGGCCAGGGGGAAAGGGGGGGGGGGGTGGAATTGTATTTGTAAAGTACAATTTGCTCTAGTTCTTGTCACATAATAGCGCCTAACATTTCAACAACAAAGTGAGGCACACATTTGACAGTAAAAGTGCTGCATGTCATCATCACTTTAAGACTATTTGCATATCATCACTATATCAGTGTTTGAAAAAAACTGTCAAACACAGAGGCTTACAATTACCAGCGAAGCATGCAGCATGTATCCCTTTATGTGACTGATCCTTTTAATTAGCCTGCTTTTTTGCTGATTAGTCTGTTTAACATTTCTTTTTTAGGTCCTATACTGTATCGCTTGTTTGGCAATTATTGTGGTTTGAATTAGTATCCCAATGTAACAATGCAGGTATAGCCACTTGTTAGTGTTCGATACCACCGTTTGTGAGAGGTAGTACATTTCACGTTGTGCGTTTGATTTTGATATTAGTGCTTTTTTACACATGTGGTTCTAGTTTTTATGGATTTAAATGTTCTAACTGTGCTCACAAAATAGACACAATAAAGTTTCAATAACCTGCAGAAATCTGTAACTGATTTCTTTTGACATTCAAATCTGATCAGCTCATGGGTTCATTTTCAGTTTTATAGAACTGTCCTGACAAAACAACACATGTCAATCATTTGTCTGACATCAGCCATGGAACTGTCATATAAATGATCAAAGTTTGCTGATTTTTTTCAGTTCTGACAGTCGTTGAAATAAGACATACTGAGAGAACAAGGGAACAAACCCTGTATAATGTATGGGATTCTTCAAATACTGTACAAACCTGCGTTTCTCTGCTCTTTGTTGCTCTAAAGCACCAGGGGTTCTTTATAGCCTGTATACATTTTACAGTATGGAGACAGCGCTCAGTGTAACCCAATAACAAATCCTTTCACTTTGATCCATTTATTTTGCTGTCAAGTTGCATGTTGCCTTTTTCCCTCTGCCCTCTTTAATGTTGATCATCAAAGTTCACCAGTGGGTCATTTGGTGTAAGAGCAATTAACTCTGCAAACGTATCAAGATGTCAGGTCTGAAAGTGAAAGTTAGCATCAAAGTGAAAAGAAAGTAAATCGAGGGAATCACTGCAGAGAATGAACAACCTCGTTTTAGTAGATGCAGGGGAAATTATCAGATGAGAACTTGTAGTCATTTGTTCGCTGGAACTTATCTTACTCATGGGTTTTATTTTTAGCTGTGGTTGCTGGTTTAAATCCATACATAATGGAACAAAACATTTTATCTAGTTATGTTGTTAGTGGGGTGAAGTACAGTACTCATCTAATGAAAGAGGCATGTTTTAATGATAGCTATTCCAAAAATTCCTCCAGCCATAACTCCTTTTTTCCTAAACTCTTATTAGACCCACATGTGATTTCTAAATTTGCACAACTAGAAGAAACCTGTCCATGTAACTAAATAGCAGAATATGTAAAGTGACTTGAAAAAAGACACATATCTGAAACACATAAACATTGCAAAACTCACACAGTTTGGTACAAGAAGAGCCCATGCTTTAGATTTACATTGTATAGAACATGGACGTAGGTCAGTGATGTCACACATTGGTTTTTTTGAAGAGGTGTTAAAAAGCCCAACGATGCTGTTGCCATATCGCTGACTCTTGCTAACTACTGGCCAATCAAGAAGCAGGCAAAAAGGTGGAGCTAAGGTGGGCCTTAAGCCACTTTGGCAAACAGCTGTCCTACTCACCTTTCACACCCTAAGTATGCACGTTTAAACAGATGAGTAATAGAAGAATATCCCTCCTGAAACACAATGAAGACATGAGCTTTAGAGACAAAACACACTTTAAACCAGGTTGTAAACAGTCTTATTTCTGCTCTTAATATTGGCCTGTTAATATAAGACCTAAAGGAGATTCCTTGGCTTCCCAGTCTCAAGTGGAAACTTGTTGAATTGCAGTTTTTTTGACTTCCTCATTCGCTTAATTTTCAAATACGGAGCTTGTGGCTTGTTTAACAAAGGTATGTCAGTAATATACACGTTGAGGTACAAAATGTTTTGAATAAACATCAGCACAAATCATGACAATTTTTTTGTAGTGGGTTTTTATAAGGTACTTATCAATAGTCAGGGCCAACAAGAATAAAAGCTTAACTATTGTACCAAAGTGGGCGGTCACAATAAAGACATATTTTAGCCTTTTCATATTAGAATATATTTTATTTTTCTGTTTCTGCTATATCTTTTTATATTCAGTATCTACCTCTTCTCCTGGTTGTCGGACATCCCATTTTCCTCTGCACTATGTTTTTAAATGTCAAAATGGCCCTGTATTTCTACAAATTCAGAGCATATTTTCAGATCAGCTGTTCAGGTCAGTGACTATTAAAAGAGACAAGCAGAGAAATTATTAAAAATAAAGCAACCATGGTTATACATTCTTCTTAGTAAGTACTCCGGCCAGCTTCACCAAACACGGACCATCGTGACTAATATCAACTAAGTGTAGTACACTTACTATTGACAAGTAGCTGATACAAGCCCACTTCAAAAAATCCAAACTAGCCCCTTAAGTTAAGTGTCTGATCCATCCATCTACTTCCACATTCTACATTTTGCTCTTTCCTGCTCTTTATAAATGTTACCCGACTTTCTTCACCAAACAATAAAGGTAATGTGTAATAAAAAAAAGCTGTGTGCATGGGAAAAAAAATAGAAAGATGTATGTTTGGTGAAGACAGAGACGCTGCTTGTCAACAGGCAAGGCAGTCAACTGCTTGGGGCCCCTGACCAGTAGGGAGCCCCAGAGGGCTCATAAACCAAAGCAGTGGCCTAAAATGTGCAAATTTTGTAATAACAGTAAGAAAACCTCCCCAAGGGGCCCCCAATCTGACAGCATTCCCTCTCGTTGCCCTGCTATTTGTTGCATGCGTTATTCAAGTTTGTCAATGAATGTCACCAAAGAAAATTGAAGAGGACTTAGCTGTCTGTGGAAGAGAAAAAGAAACAGGAAAAAAATGGAGGCGGATTAAGCGTCGGCTGGCAGACATAATGGTGATGAACGTTGGTTGGAGGGCCCCCCAATTTTTTTTTTGCCTGGGTCCCAACAGGCTCTAGAATCGCCATTTGGTGAATACAATTTCACTTATTCTATAAGTGGAAAACTGCACATTATTTTTTATCTCAACTGTCCTTTACACCCAAAACACTTCTTGGGGCCCCTAGACTCCTTTCTGCATAAGCTCTTGTTGAAACGTTCTATTGTCAATCATCCCCTTAGAACCAAGATAAATAATTATGCAAGGCTGATGGAGTGTTGCCCTGTCATACAAGCAATGTTTCATTGCTTCTGATAATGAACAGCTTGATTTCCCTCAGAGGAATTCTCATCTGTGTGTATATCTCTTGAATCTCTGTGAAGCTGAAATGACAGAAGCTTTCACAGTAGCTGCCTTTCAATGCTTCAAAAAGATGTTCACAATTGCCAGCAGTGCAATCTCTGTGATCATATTTTCCACCGTTTTGTTGCCGTACTCTTCAAATAAAAACCCCTCGCCCCTTCTCTGTTGGCCATTTGAGCTCTGTTCACTGTCAGTAAACCAGCATGTTATAGACTCCGAGAGAGTATTGGATTTTAATTGTGCTGTGCCCGGGGTGACATGGGTATTACAGTCATTTGTTGAAAAATGGGTGCACGTGTGAAAACATGGACCCAGATGTACCTACTCACATGCATTCTGCTTTATTCTTATGTCTGGCAGTATTTCTCAATGAAACCACAGTGCCAAACAGCGTTACGCAAATACACACATTTATCAAGCAGCAACACGTTTGCCGCGTCAGTTACATTTTGATGCCTTCCTAATTGAAGGATGTGGTTTACTGGAAATGTATTACTCAAAAGAAAAAATGCTACAGTGTTTACTAAAGTTATGATTTATTATCATAGTTTTGATTGACAAGCGTTTGGTTTTTCTATCAAAAAAACATCATCTGTTCACCACCACCTTCCAAGACATGAATAATGTGTTCCAGAGAATTTACAGGAAACTGCAAGAAAGCAAACGCCATGACTAATAAGCAGTTCTGCATTTGCTCCACATATGTTTATGAATCACACACAACAGAGCATTTGTCACACTCTCAAGAAGCTATTATTTATCAGATAGTCCATACTGTTGTGTAATTGTTGGGCAGGAGTCTTTAAAGCAGGCAAGACATGAAGGTTCTTTAGTTGGATCAAGGTCACTCAGATGGGTTGTTCTTTCCCCCTTCACGAACTGTCAGGGGAGTAACTCTCCTATCAGCAACAGACGGGCTGTCCAGTTCTGTTAAAAGTCTGCTGTCAGTGCACAGAAACACACTTCTACACATACACACAAAATCTACCACACAAACACACCCACACAGGCGAGGACGCAGATAAACTACACACACATTAATAAGCTCGCTGCTGTCACTCAGAGACAGGGGCTTTCAGACTTAGGTTTGAACCGGTCATGAGGCAGCAAAAAGAGGAACAGAGAGACGGTCAGACAGATAAGAAGAGCAAAATGGTTAAAAGTGCCAACTAACCCAATATTTCCAGACCAGCACAGACATTTCGAGACGCTTTTTATTAGCTTTTGTTATCTATGAGCCCTTGGATGGGTGGGAAATAATGTTGAGTGTCTCCAAAAACAGAGCTGTACTTTGATAACAGAGGTCAGCTGTTGTTCTTCACTGCTCAATGATTCTGATAATACTGTTCTTT